AGAAGGAAGAAAAAATAATCTTCAATGTTGTTTTAAGGATATTCACTTATTAAAACATATTCCCAAAACATTTTTAGAGTAATGAACTTTGTTCCATCAATTATTACTCAGGCAAGATCATTGTGACCACAATGACTCCTCTCTCAAGGTACTAATAAACACCTAAAAGGCCAAAAAAGTCACTGGAAAACATTAAGTAAAAGCATCAGTAATGAAAAAGAAAATTGTATCTTGTTCAAATATATTCGTTCATTCCTGAAATTCTAGGTACTTCCATAATGAACTGTAATTTACTAAAGACAGAGTAGAGCTGGAGAAGGTTTGGGGACCTTCTCCTTGGGATCCTCCTCTTCAATGAGGATCCTCTAAAAGATTAGGACTTTTTAGCCCAGGGCACCAATCTGGGAAAGACATGTAGCACAATTATCAAGAACATGACCTTTCAGTCAGTTACACCTGGATATGAATCCTGGATCTGTGATCTATTAGCTTGTGATCTTGGACAAGTTACTTATATTCTGAGAGTTCACTGTTTTCACCTGTGAAATAAAAATACTAATAATACCTTCTTCATGGAAGGATTGTGGGAATTATACAGATAATCTGCTGGTCTTATCCTGGGCACATGGTAAGCACTCAGTGGCTGTTATTGTCTGAAGCCTCTAAAATCATGTATGAGGTGACCAGCATCAACACAGACACCTTTGTATCCTGAGACAATTGAATGAGGAAGGGGATGACTTTGCATTAAACATAGGTGAAGTTAATGCATGAAAGGGGAAATATGATTTCATTGGCAGGTAATAAATCTATGGTCTCCATTTCTTTATAAGATATTACAGACTAGAAACAAGTAACTTTAATAAAAGACTCATGGATGATAGAAACATCATGGATAATTAAGGGAAGCATGGTGTTTGATAATTGCAAACACATAGTAAATGTCAAAAACAAAAACAAAAACAAAAACAAAAACAAAAAACAAGACTATCTTTCCATACATTCTCCTTGAGTGTCAACTCTTTGGACTGGATATTCCATGAGATTTATACAGTGGGGGCAATTCTCAAATTTAAATAGCTAACAAACTGCTGTCTGAATTAATCAAACTCTTTTTAAACCTGGGTTTTCTCATATCAGATAACAACCATCAGAAGACTCCAAAGTTGTTTCCTGGCATTGTACAGACACTTTAAATATCATTGTTTGAAAGACACAATAGCTGTGAGTGAAGAGCTATGGAAATATGAAGCCTTTGTGTTAGCCAGAAACCTTTGTTACAATCCTAATTCAACAAGCAAAAGCCCACCTAATCACATAAAACAGATGCAGGGTATTTTTAGATTTGTCGGGAAATTTTCCCCAACTCTTTAGAAATATAAATTAAATTTCAAAGTCTGAGAAGGCACTAATATGTTCTGTGCTTCCTTTATAGACTGCCATCCAGAACATGAGTTTCTACCAATGTTCATGTAAATACCAGTTCCTAAAGTAGCCTTTCTGTATGGAGTAGCTATGGCAGATATAATTGAGTCAGCTAGGGTAATCAGGCAGGATGTGACTTAATTTTTCTACTCTATAAGGAATCACAAGTGTCTGGCATCAAAAAGATAACCTTTTGAATTCTAGCTCAGCCATTTACTACTAGTTATATGACTGAGGCAAGTTAACTGCTCTGAACCTTTGTTTAACCATCCTTAAATTGAACCTATAGCACCTACCTCACTAAGGTGTGGTGAGCATTAAATGCAAGAAATGTTATATTTCTTTTAGAAGCATAGCAGTTAAATGAGTACTATTAACAAATTTTAAAATTGGGCAAAATTCCTGTTATAAAGTAAGTATTCACAAACCATCATTTCCCTTTGTGTAGATGTCCACAAAGTCATATTTTATGTCCAAATGGGTGAGTCATCTAAACACAGAGAAGACTGAAATTGTACATAGTCCTCCACTGGATTACTATGAAGCAAATGGGGTTGATGGAATATAGCCAAAAACTGGTTTGTCACTGAGCTAGATAGGTATGAGACCAGAAACATGTAGGGTAAGTGGTAGAAATAAATGATCCAGAAGCAAGTTCAAACAGAATTAAAGCCAATCCCAAAAGTAATACCAATAACTTAGTGCATAAATAAGGCACTCCTCACTTAATGACCAAGTTAGGTTCCTACGACCAGGTTGATAAGCGAATTGGTTGACAAGTGAGAACCATTAAGAGGAAGTCAAGTGTCGTGGTGCCATAGGTGATGTGATTGTCAATAGATTTTACACAACATTTCACTAGAATAATGTAATTCTATTCATACAAAAATCATACATTAGATAAATGATAGAAAGCAATAAGACCACAACATGATGATATAAATCTGGTATAATCATTTTTATTTATTCTGAATACTACTGAGTGCACAAGAAAGTGCAAATTTATAAGCAAAATATGTAGCCTTGCATGATTGCAAATGCTTCATGTAGTAGATAGTAAATGACTATGAGAATGAGATGAAGGGTTTCCCAAGACTGAAAAAGACTGAGAAAGGGGGCTTCCCACCACTGGAGAACTGGTCTTAAGAATGAGCAGTCATTAAACAGGTAAGTTAAGTGAGAAGTGGCTGTACTCAAAGCCTTATAATAGTAATCTATGGCTGGATAATGTGGTCTGGATACTAAGACATGATCACATAGATAGTTCTACTGGTTCTACTAAGTGATATAACTCACGGAATTAAAAAAAAATTACATAGGCAGTGAGTTTTGTCCCAAAATGACATTTAAGATCCATGACATCTCATCTTTGAGTCTAGATAAATTACTGATGCCATATATTTCTTTAATTGATTTCTTTTCTAGACTGTGCAAACCTTTCCCCTATTAATAATTTCTTTCTCAAACTTGTCATAAAATGACTAGATTATATCCTGCTCAGTGGCATCAACCACGGAGCAGATTTGTCTGCCTAAAACTACAACTTTCTTTAGATATGGGGTTTCCCCAAACCTTTGTAGTTGCAGACTACATCTCTGAACAGTTTCTGTCTCATCTATTCTCTGAGGATTCTAATTAGTTTCACTTTCAGATAAATTCACTTAGCTATGCATTCTGAGGACACACCCTTGTAACTCTCTTTATGAAAGGCAATGAATCATTCTAGTTGAATTGGGTGGTATACAGTGGATGGTGTCACTGTAACAAAATTTCAAAGTGGTAAAATGGTTGCTATCTAAATAGGCAGTAAAGCATTATCTTGACATCCCATTCATATGCTTAGTCGGCCTGCTGGATTTTATCACATAGTGTACAGAAGGTCCTTGATTGTGAATACTTCAATAAGGGGCCTCCAGAAGTGAAGATTTCCTGGGGAAGAAGGTAATTTCGCAACAAAGGGAAAGTCTAAATAATAAATAAGATGACATAATCTTTGTGAGAAATCCCACAATAATAAATTGTGATCCTAAAATAAGGAACAATTGGTGATCAAGCAAATGGACTATGCCTGTCAGCATTCTAGGACCATACTGTGGTTGGAAAGGAAAGTGACTGGAGGTCATTGGGTTGGTACTTTATTATGGAATTTGTTATGCTAGATCAGGATATTTCAAGGTAATCCTAGAGTCACTCAAAGTTTAAATACTGGGTTGTCAGAAAAGTCATGATGTGGTTTTCTATGCAAAAATTTGTCATGATTTTTCCAATGACCCAATAGACATACCTATTAGAGGATCTTATACAATCCCAGCACTGCAGTGGAAGCTTATTGCATAACTGGAATATGTACACTCAGGTCTTGTTGTTGCAGAAGCATGTGAATTAATGTGGTTTATAGCAAGCTGTTCATAAAGAAGACTCCTCATGGATGTAAATAAGTATTGGCACAGTACCTAGTGAAGAACTGTTGGGTGAAAAGATCTGTTTTTTTGTTTGTTTGTTTTTTTTGTTTTTTTTTTTGTTTTTTTTTTTATGCTACAGAATGAAATTAGTAAGGTGTTAGCCAGGCTTAAATATTAAGTACGGTTAGCACAATTCTCAGGAACAAAGCCAAAGTACAATGGACCTTCATGTTCTGAAAAGTTCTGCTAGGGAATATGGGATGACTGATATTTCTTTAGGAGATCCATTATGGGGGCATACATCAGCCCCAAGAAGCAAGGGACAGAGGGCTGGTAATTACCAGCAAACACTGATCATCACTGGATCTCCAGGAGTTGTGGCTTTCCAGCCTGGCACTATTTTTTGTTCAAAACTTTCAAGAATCTTTACACAGAACTTATATGCACCAAGAATAGAACATCAGCAGTAAACCCTTCACTTCTTGAGTTTTGTGCACAGATGGTGACAATGTATGTGCCCCAGGGTGTTTCAAAGGAGATGGTCCAAACATTCTCTGTTGTTCTTTGCTTTTCAATATCCTCAATTAGATGAGAGCCCCAGGAGAGTATAACTCAATAGTAGTGGATAGTGATCCTAGATGGTGACCATATTGAGCTCGCTGGAGATGGAATCCACCCCAGGGCCAGGCTCCCAGTCTTCAATGCAGAGTTATTTGGCCAGGTTCTCTGTCCAAAGCAGCAAGGACTTGCTACAGACACAGTAACTATGATGAGACATCTTCTCCAATTCTCACTAAATATCTTCTGAAGTCATTATTCTAGACCATTTTGACTTAACTATAAGATATACTGGAACTTCAGGTAGGGTCTAACAGAAAAGAGGATCCTATTGGAACTAGGAAGGCTGGTCTACAAGTATGTAACTGCCTACAGGGCAAAAAAGGGCGACCAACAGTTCTAAGTAGTGTTCAAATGAGCTATATAATCTGGTTTGTCTATAGCCAAGAGGTTTCTTGTTGGGCAAGTAAGGATCTTTAGATGACAACAAGATACGTGGAATATGGAAGGGTTGTAGAACTGTGGTTCCAGATATGTTAGGTTTTGTTGAAACTAGACACTAGCTGATAAGGTTTGAGTGTCCCTGTCAACACTTACGATGTAACTCGACATCCATGCACCAGTGTTGAAAGGTGGGATCTAGTGAGAAGCAATTGAGACCTAGAGGCAGGTCCCTACTGAATAGATTGAGGCCATCTCAGTTATCCCAGGTTAGTTCCTGCAAAAGTGGGTTGTTATAATAGCAAGCAAGCTACCCACAGGACTCTTTCTGCATATACCCGCTTGCCTTTCTTCTTCTCTTAGCCATATTGTGACGCAACACCAAAAGGTTGGTCAGATGCCAGCCCCATGCTCTGGGACTTTCTAGTCACCAGAATCATGAGCCAAATCCACATTTCTTTATAAATCGCCCAGTCTCAGTTATTCTGTTATAACAACATAATCAGAGGAAGACATCAGTCAAAAGGTGATACAGGAACCAGCCTCTAAGGAGAGAATATTGGCAGGATTTGCATGCAATTAAGACATTGGCCAAAGGCCCTAAACTAACAGAGAACTAGAATATAGAGCAATGAGGGTGAGGGTGAAAGGCTTGATCTCAATTCTAGGCACAGAAGATACAAGATTTGGTCCAAAAAACTCAACTCACATCTCACTCACTGGTAGAGATGGCATTTTCAGTGCAATGCCAGGGTTATTTTCATTGGTTAAACTGGGCAGAGCTTTGCCTGCAGGCTTTCAGTACTGTTGCAGAATTTATCCCAACTGTAGAACGTGCCCATGGATTGTTTTCATTATCATTGGATAAGGTTTGGTGAAAGGTCAGTTTCCAGTAAGAAAGTATGGTTGTTTAAATTCCCAGAAGCACATTACTTCATTATTGTGAATTGGTATTACAGTTCCCCATCCATATTTGTAATGTCAGTGCAGGATATTAATCAGTAAGGCTGGGGGTGAGAGGAATATAAGTTTATAAAGTGACCTTCTTGAGCCTCTTATTGGTAGGCTGTGTTATTTATCTTTGCTAAGGCTCGAGAACGTTTGGCAAGGCAATCTCTTGTGAAGTGACCAGCCTGGCTGCAGTACAAGCACAACTGAGTTTCTTGCTGGTGAGCTCGTTTGGCTGGGGTTAGAGGTGGCTGACATCCCCGAAGCTGTATAGGTTTTTCCTTAGGTGGCAGACCTGTGCAGCTGGAGAGGGCTTGGTAATGGATAAGGGGAGCCAACATTGGGAGCTGAGTCTCTGACTGTAGGAGCTCTGGCCTGTCACTACGTTTCTTTTCCAACTGAATACACTGAGTGATCAGATCTGGGAGGTTGTCCGTCATATCCATTATACTCTCTTCATTTTGGATGGGGTCAGCTAGTCCCTCTTGGAATTGATCACTCTGATTGGCTTCATTACAATTCAGATTTTGAGCAAGGAGCTGGAAAGTAGTAAAGTCCTGTTGAGAAGAGTTGTACCCTTTGTTTACCTTAGCATTCAGCAGAGGGTTCGTTTCCTGCTTTATGGGTTCACCAAATGAGGGGTTAGAGGTGGCTGACATCCCCGAAGCTGTATAGGTTTTTCCTTAGGTGGCAGACCTGTGCAGCTGGAGAGGGCTTGGTAATGGATAAGGGGAGCCAACATTGGGAGCTGAGTCTCTGACTGTAGGAGCTCTGGCCTGTCACTACGTTTCTTTTCCAACTGAATACACTGAGTGATCAGATCTGGGAGGTTGTCCGTCATATCCATTATACTCTCTTCATTTTGGATGGGGTCAGCTAGTCCCTCTTGGAATTGATCACTCTGATTGGCTTCATTACAATTCAGATTTTGAGCAAGGAGCCAGAAAGTAGTAGAGTCCTGTTGAGAAGAGTTGTACCCTTTGTTTACCTTAGCATTCAGCAGAGGGTTCGTTTCCTGCTTTATGGGTTCACCAAATGACTGCTGGAATTCAAGAACTAAGTTCTCATATTGCTTCAGCAGAGTTCTCTTATCTGACCCAGATATAACACCACAATTTTCCATTTCCTGAGATAGGTAGTCAAAAAAGTGCTTGACCTGGCCATTATCTGTAGGATTAGGGATCTGGAGATCTGTCAAATACGTAGTCATCTGAGCAAGAAGCTCTGAAAGTCTGGCAGGGTCATCATGAAACTGAGTGAGATGCTCAAGTGAGCAGGGTATAGACATCACTGAGGTGGCCAGGGCAGGTGTAATTTGGCCCTTCAAAGTAGGATTCTCCTTGCTTAGATGTGGCATTTGTGGTTGCAGAATCAAATTCTCTGCCTGAAGAAAGGAAGACTCTCCTTGCAAGGTAGATGGTGATTTGGTGCACTTCTCCATTATAACTCCTGGAATCAGTTAGGACTAAGTAGAATTCAGTACCAAGGCTGGAGACCAATGGACAGTAGGGTTTCTCTGTGATCAGGGAGGCAGTGCCATGAGCAAGTATCCATAGTTGTTAACTATGAAGAAGAAGACACTAGGGGATGTTGAGAAGTGAGTTGTAGAGATTCCAAAAGTTGCTGTCCACACTCAGTGTCCCCTCTTCTTCATGGAAAATGCCAATATTCTGCACAGTCAGAAGAAATAAATGATCTTAGAACACATAGAGGATTTGAAATTAAGATATACACAACAGTCACAGTAGTTTTCTCTTTTTTCTTTCCTTTCCTTTCCTTGTAATACAGGGGCTATTTGCCCTCATGCTAAATCTTGGTTCTAAAGTACTTCTTTTTCATCAGAGAGTCAAAGACTTTTATAATCCAAAGGTGATATGAGAGGTCATCCAGGCCAAATGCACAATTTCACGAATTTGAGAAAGTAGAGACCCAGAGAGGTAAAGTTGTTTACCCAAGGTCATGCAGCTAATTAATATCATAGCTGACATACTCGTCAGGGCTACTGTTCAAAATAGCACTTCCTCAAGGGCCATAAATGTGCTCATTTGTGTAGACCACTTGGATATGATGATGGTTCATGCCCCTGGCTACCAAAAATGTTATCTGGGAACCAGTAGCATTGGTATCACCAGGGAGGTTGTTAGAAATGCAGAGTCTTGGGTCCCACTCCAGACTGAATCAGTTTTCGTACTTCAACTAACAAGATTTCCTAGATGATTAGAATGTGAGCTGAAGTTTGAGAAGCACTGCTCTAGAGAGTATTTAGCCCGAACCTGAATAATCACTGGTTGGACTTCACCCTCAGAGTCTCAAATCTAACCTGCATTGTCAAGAGGACCTGATGGCCATTATGGAAGTTAATTCTTTTTTTTTTCTGGTTTCCTAGTCTTAGTATGAGGTCACATTTTATTGCCATGGATTTTATTAAGACATCACAGGCAAGATGAAGGGGCGAGGTTGAGAACCCAGCAAACATGAACTGAAAATTCTTGAAAGTATAAGTCAAAATATTTATCAGTCCTTCCTACACTGATAACAAGAATAAAGCAACCAGAAAAGGTTTAAAATAACCCCCCAAACATAAGAGATATGAATTGAACTATTCTGTACTTCATTTCCTCTCATTGCCCTTTCCTTGTGTAGCATATTATTAAAATATATATTAAAATTGGTCAATAGAGGGCAAAAAAATGTTGTATTTAAATCTTTTAAGATGTAAGTCTTGATTCCCTAGGTTTTATTTGATAGCTCTCTAGGCCTATGGAAAAATTTATCAGAAGAACTGAAATAGTATAAGATGTGAGGCCAGAAACTGATCCAAACACTGGCATTAATCAATTGGATGACCTTCAAGAACTCTTTTGTGTCTGTCTTTCCTTTTTCATTTATTTTTAAATAATTATTTTATTTAACTTTATTATTTATAAATTCATTCACTTATTTTAATTTGACTAGAGAAGGACAGAATGAGAGCACGAGAGAGAGACAGAAAGTGAGAAAGCAAGCTGCCTGGTCCAGGACTTGAACCTTGGTCAGCCATGTGGGAATCCTGCACCCTTAATCTATCAAGCCACCTGTCGGCCCTTTTTTAACCAATGAGGATGACTATCTTATCTACCTTAGAGGGTTCTTGTATCAATGAGATAACAGGTGCTCCAAGTGGCAAAAAAATCAGAGGTTTGTTTCAAAAGTTGTTCTAATGGAGCTTAACAATGCCCAGTAGTGGGGCTCTACCCTTTTTATCCCCATTACATATTGCTGAAGAAGGGAGACACTGCTATAATCTCTTCTCTTCCTTTCCATATATCACCCCTCTAGTCTCCTAATCTACTTTCCAGATATCTTCTATTATATTTTTACAGGTATCCATACATTATTTTTCCTGCTATTCCAGCTTAATGTCAACTATGATGTTAGGCTAGTAAGGCTTAATGGCCGGTATTCCTCAGGGCATTTACATTTTACCCAAACTTTAGCATGCGTAAGATCAACTCAGTCCTGATCTCTAGCAATTCTAGTTAAGTAGATTTGGATGGATCATGGAATTCTGTACCTTAATAAGATGGCCAGCTGATTTCTGATGCAGGTGGTCCCTCTTCAAAAAAGTGCTCAGATGTACTTTGAAGAATAAAGCCACATTAGTACCCTTACAGAAAATTACAGACAGGGAGTGGATGTATTTGGAAGTAGGAGGTTGACCCCCAAATGACACAGAATTGATGTCACCCTATTCTACCCTGCATGAAGCCTACGAAGAGCCCACTGTCCTTTACAATGGCTCATCTCTCTCAGGCAATCAAATTCAATAGTTAATACTTGTAGGTTCTAGACTAAAACTGACCTGGGTCTAAATCCTGACATAACCAAAAGCTATGTGATTCTGGTCAAGTTATTTAATCTGTTTGAGAATCATTTTCTAAACTTTAAAACAGTGATGATTATAATACCTACCTCACAGTATTGTGATGATTAAATAAGAGAGCACATTAGCATGGCCTCATGCATGTGGCAAGTGCTCCATAAATATTACCTATCATTATTCTAGGTCCACAGTCTGTTATCTAACTGTGTCTTAGAGTTCAGAATTTAAGCTTTTTAGAATTTTAGAAAGGTAACATGGATTATGTACTGTTTATTACATAATACTTCTAGTGGTGTCTGGGGAAACATCCCATAATTAAGCCATTAACATTCCTGCAAGGAAAAAAATGCCTGAACATTCATACTAAAAGGGATAAAGATTAAATTCATGTCAATTCAGGTCATGTTTTACTGCCAAATTAGTTTTGGCACCAAATAGATTTTTAAAGATCTTCCATTATACAGAGTTTTTTTTATTTTTTATTTTTGAGGTGAGATAAAAGACTGTGGACCTCTTCTTTTGATTGCAAGTGTGTGATTATAACTTTTTATCTCTGTTCCTACTTTCTGCCCTTTCCCTCCACCCTTTAGAAGATCCAGACACTGTTGAGGTCTCCTGTTTCTTTATAGAGTTATGTATTCAAGGTTGCATAGCATTTAATTTTCATAATTGTGTAGCACTGGTGAAACACTTGTTAAAATGATAAGCTTTAGACCAAATGCAAATCAAATGACAGCAATGCTGTCAATGGCAATTGCTTAAACCCTCAGAGAAAATCTACCTTGCCTTATCATTTTGGAAATTGTTCTTCTTTTAGAGACCAGTGGCCTTCTATTTTATTGCCTCAGAAAATTTGAGGGCAAAGCTTGCTATGCCAGAGGACTTCCAGACTACAGCCTTATGGAGACAAAGCAGAGATTGAGCTGGAATCTTAAATGTGCAAGCTTGGAGGATCAGACTGGTGAGTTTGGAACATAAAACTGCATATGTATAAGCTTTTACTTAATTAGTACTTAATAGGTGTGTGTTTCAACTACAAGAACAAAAATGGTTTTAGTATAGCACTTCAGAACATTTCGTGTTTGTGTTCATTTGTCTCAAAGCCAGAGTTAAGTTTGCTTGGACATAAGACTTACTACATTCTGGAGTGTCCTAAAATCCCATTTTGAGAAGACCTAAGTGTTTTTAAGAGAGCTTTTGACCTTACACTGCTTTAACAGCAAGCTGGTCTACATAACTTATTTTAGGAGGAGGTTTGACCTAGGATCAGGCAATCACCCAGAGCAGATGTACTTCTAGCTCTCAAGCTGCACCTTCTAAGAAACACTGTGCCTGTGGTAGCTAAACTGAAACATAAATAACCTTTGGCAGGGAGTGACTATAGGAGCGTGTTTGGACTTGTCTGGCAACCTGGTTATGAGCCTAGCTCTGCTACCATCCAGATCAACATCCTTGAACAAGTCACTGCCTCTTGCTGGGCCTCATTTTCTTTTTCTGCACAGTGAAAGGATTGGTCTTCTTAAACTTTAGCACACATATATTGTGATTCAAGAAGGTTAACAGGAGAAGCAGGAAGGGACCAGCAGTTAGCGTAATGGCTATGTCGCTGGACTCCCATGTTGTCGACCGCGGTTCGAGTCCTGGCGCCAGTGGCTTAAAACTCACGTCGGGTGCATGTGCATGCATGCCCACGATCCCGAGAGGAGAATGGAGGAGAAAGGATTGTGGCATGGCCATTCCCCTTGGGGGGTTATTTCTCGCTTTCTGTCTCTCTGTCTCTCTCAGTCTGTCTGGGGAGCGCACGCACCCTATGGCAAAACCTCTCCAAAAAAAAAAAAAAAAGAGAACCAGGAATTGAATTTTTTTACAGAGTCTTTAAATGATACTGGACTAAGAAGTCTCCAGATTTTATATTGGGATTATTGGGCGACTAAACAGAGCTTCAACATTTCTCAGAGGTTCACACATTTTGGGGTATACCAGAATTTCCTTGGAGATAACACATATTCTTGGACTTCACCCCTGGAGAGTGTGATACAGTATGTTTGTGATAAGATCCGGTAATCTGAATTTTAATCAAGTTCTGCAGATAATTCTGATACAGAAGTTTCCTTGACAACTTGTGAGAAACTCTAGGTTAGTACTCTCAAAACATCCTTTCAGTTTCAGCATTATTTGCATTTTGAAAGTAGAAAATATTCAGCTCCAAAAGCTTCCTGTAAAATGCATGATTTGAGGATTGTTTCCTTCCAAGGCTCTGACTGAGGCTTCATGGCCCCCTCTAAACTAGTACAGCTCTGGCTCAGGCATGTGCTGTGTAGCTGGCCTGGGGTCAAAGGAGGGTAGCAATTGAGCCAGCCCTACTCTTAGGGTTTTGTACTTCCTTCTGGGAGGTATACACTGTTCTTCTCTTTTCTGCCTATGAGTGAGGTAGAAAAGCCATCCTCATATCTATGTATCAGAGATAAAAGCAGGCTTGCTGAGCTATTGCTGTGACTCAGACCTCAGACCTTCCTTTAAAGCTTCAATCTTCTTTCTGGTTCAGCTGGACCCATGGCCTAGCTGCTCATGAAGTGAAAAGCATTATAAACACTATCTACAAGTATTCTCTGTCATGGTTCCCTAGTTTTCCCTTCTTACATAAAAACACATTTGTTCCT